CACTGTACATCTGCAAGCTTGTACTGTATAAACATGTAAATTCTATGCTGCAATGGCCCCATTGGATGCATAGACCAAATATATGTGCATGCCAAAAGTAAATGTTTCATAGTCACTAAGATCGGATTACTTCAAGGCAATGGCAGCCATCTTGGACACCATCTTGTTTTTCAAATTTAATGTTATAAGCCTCATGAAAATAATAGATAATGGAAATGATATTTTCATATAACCATATGCACGTAACAACAATTGGTGTTACAAATTTCTCACTCTTCCAATTCTGTACAAGTATCTATATGCTGTATCTCAAGAACCGTAATGGATACAGAGATGTACTAGGTACCAAAATGTCTGCAATACACAACTTTATATTCAACTTCAATATATGTATGGGGCTTAAAATCAAGGCATTTTGAGTTATAAAGGAAAAACCACATTTTTGAGGCGGACATCTTGGATTTTGGGGCCGCCATCTTAGAATTTTGCGTGGCTAACGTTATTTTTGAAAAGAGTGGGGTTTGACGAGTATATGTACCAAATTTCATGCTTGTATAACAAAGTGAACGATTCGGGCTATATTATGCATTTGTCTGCTCTACTACTAGGGACAGTCAGAAGGTCAGAGGATCTGAGAGTCGGAGATGAAATATTGAGTTTTAAAAGGTCAGAGAGATAAAAAGGAGAAAACCCGTTTTAATAAGATTTAAAAGTTAAAAATAACATTTTAAAATCAATCCTAAAACAGGAAGTCAGAGGAGAGAGAATCGGGGAAATGTGGTCAAATATAAAACGACCAGATAAAACAGGATGAAGATCGGCTGACGCTAAAATAAGGTGCATTTTAATAATTAAGACGAGTTTTGATAAAAGGAAGAAAAACCTTCTTAAAATCACGAAAAGACTCGACTTTGTTTAAAAGATGATAAAAACTTTCAAAACTCTGTCCTGATAACCTCCAGAGAGAAACCGTGAAAACGCACCATCATCGTCGCTGCACCGTCGTCACCGCTGCACCATCGTCATCGCTGCACCGTAGTCGTCGCTGCACCGTCGTCATCGCTGCACCGCCGTCATCACTGCACCGTCGTCATCGCTGCACCATCATCGTCGCTGCACCGTCGTCACCGCTGCACCATCATCGTCGCTGCACCGTCGTCACCGCTGCACCATCGTCATCGCTGCACCGTCATCGTCGCTGCACCGCCGTCATCGCTGCACCATCGTCATCGCTACACCCTCATCATCATTGCACCGTCGTCATCGCTGCACCATCATCGCCGCACCGTCGTTGTCGCCGCACCGTCGTCGTCGCTGCACCGTCATCATCACTGCACCATTGTTGTCGCTGCACCATCGTCACCGCTGCACCATCATTGTCGCTGCACCGTGGTCGTCGCTGCACCGTCGTCATCGCTGCACCATCGTTGTCGCTGCACCGTCGTCGTCGCTGCACCGGTGCAGGTTATTTTAAACTGGTTTTCTTTCTTTGACGCTGTCCGCCCCCCTCCCTGGTGCACCGTCAGATCTGCACCCACACTGGACCAATCCCATCATGCGGTTGTTGTTTCCCACGGTGACAGGCGTCCTCGGCGGCGGCCCACCTTTCATGGCGGCGGCTGTGAGAAGTCTCGTGCACGGCCTCTGAGCTGCACCGGCGTGTTTGCGCTGGGATTACCAGACTTTGGTTTGTTGGCGGGGGGAGTGTAAAGGTAGCCATGGGGAGGACCCCCCGCAGACCAGGAATGCTGGTCAGGTCAAGGGAGGAGGGGGGAGACAGGGGGAGACGGGGGGACACACTCACTCAGGGATGGGGGGGGGGGGCTCAGGGATGGGGCAGCAGGTGCTTTTGTGAGTCCTGTCAGCCTTCAAAGGAGCAGAAAAGGTCAGCAGAGAAGAATAATCCCCCCTCACCCCAAACCTCCCCCCTCTCCTCACCCCCATCCCAAACCTTCCCTTCCCTCGTCTGCTGTGAGTTATTAGTGAACTCAGAGACGTGTCGGTGCACAATGCACCAAAAAATGCACCTTACTTTGACATAAGTTTTAAAAAAAGATGAAGAAAAAAAGGAAAGACAATGATTCTAAAATGCGCCGTCTTCCACGCTCCCAAACAGAACCAAAGTTTTAGGCAATGAGGAAAATGTAAAAAACGCACCAAAAAAAATGCACCAAAGCGCAAGAACGCACCGATGATCTTGATAAATTTAAGTTTGTCATTATCTTAGAAACATCTTGAAAAGTGCGCCACCTAACAAAGAAAAGGACTTTATAACGCACCATAAGTTCCTCCCTGATGAAGAAAAAATCACTAAAATGCGCCGACATTGTTTTGAAAAAGGCAACAATGACGATAAGAACATCCTGTTACAAAAGTCACGATTTGAACTGGATTCTAAGATGGGGCTCGTCACCAACGAAGTCCGATAAACTTTCACGACTTAATTTTCGAGGACTGAGAAAACTCAGAAATGCACCATGTCTATGAAAAATGCACCATCCTTTAAAAAGAAACAGACGCTAGTCACAAAGTAAGAAAAATTATCAAGACCAAATCCAGCGCTAACATCGTGTTTGTTTCGAGTCTGAACAACGCACCACCCTTTATCGTCAGTGTGAAGCTAAATCTTAGCGTTAGATTAGGCTATGCTGAAAGCTAACGTCCTAACGTGTGCACACTCCGACAACTTACCTTTAACTTACCCTTAACGCATCGCCGACAACTGCTCTGTTGACGGCGATGCGTTATGGGTCATCACTTTGTGTGTGTAAATCTGATACACGACCACGGAAACGCTCCGACAAGCTAATAGGCGAATACGCTAACAAGCTAATGCTAACTGAGTCTTCAGATGGACACAGAATGACATTCAAATCCAGAGGGTTAATCCAGGAAGTATCAGGATTATTGATCAGGGCTGGATTATTGATCCTTAGGTGTACGTTCTGATCAGTCTTGTAAAGATGAAGTTTCACTAATTTAAATCTTTTAATTCTGACTTTTGATCTGGGCTTTTATTCTGAAAGGGTCTGTTAATGTAAAGTGTTCCTCTTCCTGTTCAGACTGAGGTCGTGTGTTTTGGTGGTGATGTTGACATGGGGGGGGGGGTAACCTCCGTGTGATCGTGGGGATGAGGTGGGTAAGGTTGGGGGGTGTCCAGGTTGCGTCATGTGACCCGGGGTGTCCCCCTTTTGTGCCGCCTGTCAAACGTGGTTAACATGCGACCATTTATCTCCTGAAGCCCCCCCCCCCCCCCCCCCGAGCACACAATGGTCTGGGGGGGGGGGGGGCTTTAGTTGCCCCCCCCCCCCCTTTCTTTGCCCCACTCTCTCTCTCTCTCCCTCTCTCTCTCTCTGTCTCTCTCTCTCTCTCTCTCTCTCTCTCTCTCTCTCCCTCTCTCCCTCTCTCTCTGTCTCTCTCTCCTCTCTCTCTCTCTCTGTCTCTCTCTCTCTCTCTCTCTCCCTCTCTCTCCGTCATCCTGAGGGGGGAGGAGAAAGGGGTGAGGAGGGGTCCTGTCATTGTCCAGCGCCGCTGACAGACATGTTGGACCCTGTGAATTTGTCGCACTGAGCGTGCTCAGGGGCGTCACCGCGGAAACAATGAGCAATTTGTGTTTTGTGTGCATGTGGGTCACTTCACGGACGACTTCGATGTAACGTGAACGACCGAACAAAAAGATCGGATTTAACGAGAAATCAGAACTGTGGATCAGAACCTGCAGAGAGAACGTCGCCTTAGTTTGTGTCTGAGAGGATCCCTGTGACCCGGACTCTTCAGTCAGACGGGTTCAGGTTCTGAAGGGTTCAGGTTTTAAAAGGTTCAGGTTTTAAAAGGTTCAGGTTCTGACGGGCTCAGGTTCTGACGGGTTCAGGTTTTAAAAGGTTCAGGTTCTGACGGGCTCAGGTTCTGACGGGTTCAGGTTCTGACGGGTTCAGGTTTTAAAAGGTTCAGGTTCTGACGGGTTCAGGTTCTGACGTGTTCAGGTTCTGACAGGTTCAGGTTCTGACGGGTTCAGGTTCTGAAGGGTTCAGGTTTTAAAAGGTTCAGGTTCTGACGGTTTCAGGTTTTAAAAGGTTCAGGTTCTTGTTTGGACCTGTGTCTCTCTGAGTTCTGGTCCAGTATGTCAGTTGAGACAGTGAGCAGCTCAGCGGATCAGCGGCGTGTTCTGGTTCTAACATGGCGGATAACCCCCCCCCCCTCTGTAATTGATTCGTTTGCAGTGGTGGGGGGGGGGGGGCTCAGCAGAACCCGGTTTAGGTAACAGGCGGCCCAGAATCCGCCGAGTCCATGTGTCAATTTTATTACATCAGTCCAGATGAACCTGAAAGAGCGGCTTTGTGTCTGCCGCCACCGCCACCGCCACGCTCTGAATGGAGGTCACTGTGTGTGTGTGTGTGTGTGTGAGTGTGTGTGTGTGTGTGTGTGTGTGAGTGTGTGTGTGTGTGTGTGTGAGTGTGTGTGTGAGTGTGTGATCAATATGACACAGATGAAGTTCACACATGGATGACAGCAGTGATGAAGATGATGATGATGATGATGTGACAGGGGAGCAGGAGAAATCGGGTCGGTCGATACCGGGCTCAGAATCGGGTCAGTCAGGGTCAAACATGGAGGTCAAACATGTTCAAATGTGTCTGACAACACGCTAACAACACGCTAACAACACGCCACACAGAGACGCACGCTAACCTTCGCCTCTGATTGGCTGTGAAACATCATCACACACTGAAGCCGAGCGCGGGCTGTCGGCTCTGAACGTCGGACAGAACATCATCGTACTTCTGCACCCAACCATAGCACTTTAACAGGTGAAGCCGACAGCACTGTTGGTGAGAAACAAAGAAAATGAGTGCTACCCCCGACAGAAATGACCATGAAGGCTCAACAGATGACTACGACCACAATGACTACCATGACGACCACGACGTCGACCACGACGACGACCACGACCACGATGACGACCACGACGACGACCACAACGACGACCACGATGACGACCACGACGTCGACCACGACCACGACCACGACCACGATGACGACCATGACGACGACACTGTTTACGTCATGTTTAAGATTGACAGCTGAAAGTTTTATATCGGGATATTTATCGGTTTCGACCGATATGATAAATATTTATTGTGATAATTTATCGCCGATATCGCCCCGCCCTGGTGCTAAGCTAGGCTAACAGTCCAGACCCCCCCCCCGGTTGGGGTGACAGTGGGGGGGTCGGGGGTGTCGGGGGTGGACAGGGTCTTCACGTTGATGTCTCAGGGTGTCTCTGTCTTGGGGGGTCAGTCCGGACCCTGATCACAGACCCGGCAGCTGTCGGCCATCTTTGTTTGAGGAAGAGTCCCTGTTCTGGGGGGGGGGGCGTCCCTCAGATCTGGGTTAAATGTAAATCGATCGACGCTGTGAGGACCATAATTACAGACCCCCCTCTGTTCAGCAGACCAGAAGAGAATCCATGAGACCTGGGGGGGGGGGGGGGGGGTAGACCACAACGACAGACAAAGGACGGGGGGGGGGGGGGGGGTAACCACGGTGACGAACTCATGACAACAACCAACCAACTGAGGATTAGACTCTGTACTAAAGGGGGACCAGGACCAGAACCAGGACTGGGTGGTCCTGATCTTCAGGTCTCTGGAGTGGGAATCACCGCATGGACTCAGAACCTCTTTAAAAACCAGAACCAGAACCCCCAGAGACTTCACCGGACCTGAGTCCATTTAAGGTGGACTGAGGGGACCAGGAGACCTGTCAGATCCAAGTCCAAGTCCAGGTCAGATCTGAGAAGGAGAGGAGAGCCCAGAACCTGAAGGTGGACCCGTAGGTGGACCCGTAGGTGGACCCGAAGGTGGACCCGGAGGTGGACCCGGAGGTGGACCTGAAGGTGGACCTGAAGTTGGACCTGAAGGAGGTTTTTCAGAGACGACAGACGAGTGAGAGAAAAATCAACGAAGGTTCGACTTCAAGATAAAGACCGAAGAAAAAGAGAGGAGAGGAGGAGGAGAGGAGGAGGAGAAGAGGAGGAGGAGAGGAGAGGAGGAGAGGAGAGGAGGAGGAGGAGATGAGGAGGAGAGGAGGAGAAGAGGAGAGGAGGAGAGGAGAGGAAGAGGAGAGGAGGAGGAGAAGAGGAAGAGGAGGAGGAGAAGAGGAGGAGAGGAAGAGGAGGAGGAGAGGAGAGGAGGAGGAGGAGAAGAGGAGGAGGAGAAGGAGAGGAAGAGGAGGAGGAGAGGAGGAGGAGAAGAGGAGGAGAAGAGGAGGAGGAGGAGGAGGAGGAAGAGGAGGAGGAGGAGAGGAGGAGGAGGAGGAGGAGGAGAGAGGAGGAGGAGAGGAGGAGAAGAGGAGGAGAAGAGGAAGAGGAGGAGAGGAGGAGAGGATAGGAGAGGAGGAGGAGGAGGAGAAGAGGAGGAGGAGGAAGAGGAGGAGAGGAGGAGGAGGCGTGAAGATTTGTGAAAATCTGAAACTTTAAAAGAAGAAAATTAAAAATCAGATTTTTTATCAAAAACATTTTCAGTTTTTCAAACATGTGAAATTCAAACCCTGAACACGTGTGTGTGTTAGTGTGTGTGTGTGTGTGTGTGTGTGTGTGTGTGTGTTTGTGTGTGTGTGTGTGTGTGTGTGTGTGTGTGTGAAAAGTCTGTCTGTAAAGGGGGCGGGGCTTGTTCAACCACGGCGTCATTCAGCTGTTCTCACCTGTCGAGTCGCTCATGATGATCGTCTCATTTCTTCTCAACTAACTTTTTTTTTCTCCTTCTTCCCCTCGGTGCACCTCCTCGCTCACCCGACTCCCTCACCACGGCTCACCCCGCCTCACCCCCGCCTCGCTCGCCCCGCTCGCTCTGAAGCAGGTAAGAGAGCAGACGAGATAAAAACTTCCTCTTTTTTGTGTCGACACTGAAGTCTTCCTCAGTCTGAGTCAGTTCCCTCTGCTGTAATCTGCTGACAGCATGTTTACACACACACACACACACACACACACACACACACACACACGTACACACCTTCCCTTCATGCCCTCACACTCTTTTATTTCTTCTTTCACACTTCCCTCTTCTCGAACATCACCTCCTCCTCCTTCTTCTTTCTCAAAGAGTCTGAAAGTTTAGATGAGGACTGACGCTTTATTTTGAAAATTCAGTCTGGTGTTTTATTTTGAAAATTCAGTCTGGTGTTTTACTTTGAAAATTCAGTCTGGTGTTTTATTTTGAAAATTCAGTCTGACGCTTTATTTTGAAAATTCAGTCTGGTGTTTTATTTTGAAATCTAAACTCTCTGGTTGTGTCCTGAATGAACTCTGACCTCCATGTGGAGTTTCTCTGTCGTGAAGCTCAGTCTCTGCAGGTTTTCCTGATCACTAACGTCTCGGTGGTCTGTCGTCTCTGTCGTCTCTGTCGTCTCTTTAGTCCAGGGGTGTCAAAGTCAAATGGACGGAGGGCCAAATAAAAAATTTAGCTACAAGCCGAGGGCTGGACTGATCGAATGTTCATTGAA